GAAATGATCGTACTTTCAATTTAATACACTTAGTTTTATGAAAAATGATTTCAAGGATATACTTACAGGATCCATTTGAATAGACACAAGGACTCAAATACATCCTTTTCTCTGATATCCACAGAATCACAAATACTTTGATAGCCACAGAGATTGCATACCATGTCTACACAAACTACATCCAACTATATACATACTTTTCAAATCCTCAAAGACATACACACATTCAGACATACACTGCACCATATTTATGTTTGATATTTTGGGCAAATATAACTACTAGAAATATCAAAATAAAACAATCTTCATTCCCTTTTTAAAACTTGTAAACATAAGATATGTATGAATAAAGTTTGAATTTAATTATTTTTCTTTAAATTGAACTTTTACTATAAAAAGGCATGTGTCAATGCTAAAGGCTTCCAACAACTCTGGAGGCTTCTAAGGACATTAACGATAGTTGATTCTATTAACAGTATAAAAACTGCCCTTCGCAAAAGTCCTTCCAATATTTTCAAGACCATATTCTAAAATCTAAGCCAATTTACTTTCATGTTAATCTGTTTTATGAATGTAACTTATTAGAGAAGAGCTAAATAGCATTTACCAAGTCCTGATCCATTACAGTGCTATAACCTTAGGATCACAATGAGATACCACATCACACCCACTAAAATGACTATTAAAAACAAACAAACAAAAAAAGGAAAATAAGTATCGGTGAGAATGTAGACAAACTGAAATCCTTATATGTTGCTGGTGTGAATGTAAAATGTGCAAGCCACTGTGGAAAATAGTTTGGCAGTTCCTCAAAAAGTTAAACAAAGAATTACCATATGACTCAGCAAGACTCCCCAAAATTGAAAAATTGAAAACAAGTATTCAAATACTTGTATACAAATGGTCATAGCAGCACTATTCACAATAGCCAAAAGGTAGAAAACAAACCAAATGGCAATCAATAGATGAATGAATAAATAAAATTTGGTATATACATATGTTATGGACTGAATGTTTGTCTCCCTAAAATTGCTATGCTGAAGTCCCCAATGTGATGGTACTTGCAGGTGGGGCTTTTGGGAGGTAACTAGGTCATGAGGGTAGATCCCTCATGAATGTGATTAATGGCCCTATAAAAAGACACAAAAGAGAGGTGATCTTTTTCTGTCATATGAGGTTATAGTAGGAAGGTAACCACCTGCACACCAGGAAGTAGGCCCTCACCAGACAGCGAATTTATTGGCACCTTGATCTTGGACTTTCCGGCCTCCAGAACTATGAGAAATGTTTGTTGTTTAAGCCACCTAGTCTATGGTATTTTGTTATAGCAGCCTGCACTGATTAAGACATGATACAGTGAAATATTATTCAGCCATAAAAAGGAATGAAATACTGATACATGCACTATGTGGATGAACCTTCAAAAACTTACGCTAATTGAAAGAAGCCAGACACAAAAGGTCACATATTGTATGATTCCATTTATATGAAATATCCTTAAGAGGTAAATGCAGAGACATAAAGAGGAAGTATTAATGCAGACTGACTACTTAACGGGTATGGAGTTTTTTTTTTTAAGAGCAATTAAAATGTTTTTGAACATGACAGAGATGGTAATTGCACATTGTGAATATAATAAATGCCACTGAACTGTTTATTTTAAAGTGGTGCATCCTGTGTTATGTGAATTTTTTCTAAGTTTTTAAAATAGCTTAGGAATTCATAGAATAACAAATTTAATTGTTTTTAAATTTTATTTTCTTTAGTAATAATGGAAAATTATTAGCCAATGACTAAAGAATCAAATGTAATTATAGAAGTCCCACCCCCTCATCCCTTTACCTGCAAGAGATACATCCTAAGACTCCCAATGGATGCCTGAATTGCAGATAACAGCAAACCCTACATATACTATTTTTTTCCCTATACATAACTATGAGAAAGTTTATTTTACAAATTAGGCACAGTAAGAGATTAACAATAACTACTAATAAAATAGAACAATTATAACAGTGAGAAGTTATGTCAGTGTGGTCTCTCTATAGATATCTTATTGTACAGTATTCACCTTCTTGTGATAATGCGAGATGATACAATGCCTATGCGATAAGACGAAGTGAGGTGAATGACGTAGGTATTTTCAAACCACAAATGACTGCAGGTAACTGAAAAGTGAAACCACGGAAAAGTGGGAGGCAATGTACTTCAAAAACACTGCATGTGAAAATTAAAAATGAATCCTGGAATTTTAAACCTGATCAAAAAGGTTTAAGTAATATCTCAGTTTCAATCAGGTACACACACACACTGACAAGTATGTACCACATATGTCTGAATATAAAGAGAATTATTCTCCACATATATCCATGATAAATACCATATTGTTATTTGGTTTCTATCAAGTTGTTCATTTGACAAGGGTTTTTCTTGTCATGCATTGTGAGAAATGAAGTACTCACTGGAGGAGACACTTAGTATGAAAAAATCCTTAATGTTGGTCTAAGAAACTTTAAGGTCACCTGAGAAAAACGGTTAAGAAAAAATAAAAGGGCAAGAAATTTAGCATTAACTCAGTTTCTGATGCTAAGACTCCACAGTCCATGGTACTGGATGGCACTGTATACAAAAGCCTTTTAGAGACCACTTTAAAAAGCAATCCAGTAAATGGTTATATTGTACAGATAATAAACATATAACTAAAGTACCAAAGAAAAAGAAACTTATCATGTTATGTAAATGAGTATATGTAGAATTTCCAATGGTGGCCTCATATAGATTCAACAAGTGTTTCATATAAAAAATTTACGTGATGTAACCTAAAATCCATGATGGATGGTTCAAAAAGTAGCTCCACTGATCACAAAGACACATATGTACATGATGCATATAAAGAGTTTGAATAAAATTATTTCATGACATTAGAGCTGTAAAAAATGTAGAATTCCTAAATTCATATTAACTTTACATAATATATAATTTTAAATATATTTGAGCTAACCCAAAATACTCTTCTGAGATCTTCTTAATGGGAAAATAGAGGATCACTTTAAATTCAAGGATTATCAGTATATGCATGAGAAAAAAGATGATGCAAAGTGATTATTTTGAATGCTAAGTGATATTTTGGGATTATGATTTTAATTTTCTCTATACTTCCTTTATTATTTTCAACCTGCGTATATTACTTTTGATTAAAACAAAAGCAATAAGAATTAAAAATAAATTTGTTTTCTTAATAGTTCTAAAACTTATATGACATGGAATCTTAGAATCTTTGCTCTATATGAAGTCAAGAAGAATCTCTCAGTCTAACCTTCTGCAAAATTGGAGTAATCTTATCTGCAATATTTGACATCATCCAACTTTTTCCTGATACAGAGATCAATATTTTCAAAACAACTTATTCCACTGTTAAACAATTGAAAACTTCATTGATTCTTTAATAACTTTATTCAGTCTCTATTTGTGCCAGGGGCTGAGGTCTTTACAGTAAGCCCACATGTGGATTGCTCTCTAATTTTCTGCTACTATTTTCAATGTTGCAATCTGGAGAAAGAACAAATGTCTACCCCTTTCTTAGAAGACAGTCTTTGAGGTATTTTTAGACAGCTCTTGTGAATCCCTTAAGTCTCCACTTTTTCCAGGCTTTATATTTAATTCTGCTTCTTTGTATACCCTACTTGCCATTCATTAATATTCTTCTTAAAATAGTGTAGTCAGGACCTAAAACATTTCAAAATGATTTCTGATCAGCCATAAATAGTCTGAATTAATAGTCCTAGGATATCTGAACATTTTTCTTTTATGAATGTAGTTTAAGACTACATCAGCATTGTTAGTGGTTATATAATATTAAGAGTTTAAGACTAGAGTCAATAGAAAGCATCCAAGTTTATTTCACCAGAACTCAGGTCCCCCAAATCCACAGCGTAGGCAATGCATCTGTTCACACTCAAATTCAGAAAAGTTTAAATATATGGGGGAAAATTAATCTTGAATCAAGAATATATATCTACTTCCTGGTCATAGAAAGCTGTCTTCCTTCTATTTTTTAGCTTGAATAAGCTGACTAATCAATCAATCAACTATTTATTGCTCGTTTTTTATCTATGGGGAATTGTACTCTTTTAATGTTCAGTTTAAGAAGAAAATCACATCGTTAAGAGGCAGTTCTGTTGATTAAATGAATCACTTAGGAGCGAAAAGTAGAGTGAACACAGAAGTGGCGAAGAAATAATGACCATCCCTGAATCTTTTAGAAAACAGCAATGTACAAATTCAATATTCTTTTTAATGTTTTCTCAGCAGCAGCAATGGTGACAAGCCCCAGAAAAGGGAATTTCTCTATGTCCCTTATACATTTTTATTTTATTTTATTTTTTTATCTGAATGATCTTTATTGCTGGTTCTAAGCATCTCACTCTAACCCAGACCCTTGTGTACACAATGCTGGGACCACTTCCCCACAAATTGCTCTAGGTCCTTTTAGCCCTAAGAGTTTTAAATGTTTCAAAATGTTTGCCCCTTGGGGCCTTAAGTACCAGATAAGAAAGAGTTAGAGCACTCCAGTTCTCCCCGTTTATAAGATATCTGAATTTATTTCTAGGTTTTAAAAATTCATTTCTAGGTTTTAAAAACTGGATATAAATCCTTGAGAAGCAAAGAAATGCTACACATTCCAAGTTTCAGATACAAACCTGAAGGTTAAATTTTACAGTAGTCATATTAGTGAAATCTCTATAATTTCTCATATGCCAGGATTTACTATAATCTGCTAAAAATTAAAGAAGCTATGCCTATTTGAAAAGTTTTATCTGCTGCTATTTTGTTCAAAACCATACAAGTAGTGGCCCAATAAGTGGTTAGAAAGGATCTTTCCCATCTGCATAAGTACTTCATGTGTCCACTTTTGTCCTACAGATTTTAATTAACAGAGTCTACCTTCACAGCCATGTGTAGCTTTCCCAGAAGTGGTAAAAGAGCTAAAGGTTTGGAATTACCTTGAGTGGTGAAGTTGAAGAGTGCGGGTGTGTCTCGCCCATTTGGTAGTTTGACATTTGGGTCCCGTAATTCATCAAAAAATGAATGTGCACAAGCTTCCAGGGGTGTCAGTCTGGCAGTTGGTGTATACTCCAGCAGACGGCTACACAGTGCAATTGCCTCTGGTGGAGTTCGGGGTCGGAAGACCTGCAGTATAAAAAAATGGAAAGAAAAATTAATGTTTAAGAATTTTAGCAATTTATCCTCTGAGTACTGAGTTAATTCAGTATTTGTGAAAGGAACCTTCTAAAATGAAAAGAGTTAACTGCACATGATTTACCATACTGGGGTGAACTGCTAATGAAAGACTATATGAGAAAAGCTCAGGGAAAAAACTAGGGGAAATGAAAAAGAAATCTATATATGCTAGTCATAATGCAGTACAATCAAACGTGCACACAAAAATATGACAAGCACAAGAGAAGGGGGGAGGGGTTCTGGAGGCAAGCACAAGAAGAATATAAAAAATTTTAGAAGTTTTGACTGCTGTGGTAGCAGATAAAAGGTTGCCTTTTTAAGCAGAACAATTGTTGATAAAGGTCAGCACTGTTCAAATTTGGCAATCTGATATTACAAAAGAAACACTATTTACTCTAGGTCTATACATGTTAATGATCTGGCTTTATCTCTTTAATAAACAGAACCTATCAATATTTGAAGGAATTCCTGAATACTCAGAATCTGACAAAATGTCCGAAATTATTTTCTCAATTAACTGTTTATCATGAACGTGGCCAGATTACCCTCAGCTGAATGACTATTTTAAGGTTTTAACCAGAGAGAGAAAAACGTATTTTTCATTAAGAGTCATAAACTCACAGAAAAAAATCAACTGAAGGCTGTTGAGGCAAAATGCAAATTAATTTGATTAAAGGAATAGAAAGCTTTCTTCTCATCTATGTTTATAAAGACATAAAACTAAGAAAATACACTTTGTTTTAAATTCTTGACAGTTAAAGAATAAAAGTAGAAGGGGGGAAATAGAAATAAATGTAAGCAGATGGACAGAAAGGCTTTGAAATGAAAGAAAAATGAAACATATATTTCTAGATAGAAAGAACATAGAATTAAATAGAAGGTATGGTAGTGCTGTGGTGAAGATAAACAGACATATATAAAAAGAAGCAGAAGTGTATATATGGAGGGAAATATACCCACAAGTGAGGAAAGGATATGTAGACTGTGAAAATGCATGGAGGAGCCTGGGAAGCTAATGTTTCCTCATGAGGATGGCTCATGTAACATAGGCTGAAGGTAAGAGAACTAATTACTGCTACAGAGCTCATTAGATTTCAAGAGACTATTTATAAGAGTACTTCCTACAGTGAAAACCTTTTTTTAAAAAAAAAAGTTTTTGTTTTTATACAAAGTTTGTTATTAACAAAGATATTTCCCATGGAAATTAAGAAAATGGTTTGAGAATGATCTCAGGAATCTATTTCAGAACACTGAAGGCCTTGTCAATTTACTTGGCTATGTTAGAAAACCCTCTGTAAGGTCAAAAACTGCTTTATCTTTATTCTGTGAGCGATTTAACTTGCCTCAGTCAAGAAAAACCTTACTATTGTATTATTTGAAATACTTAGATCTTCCACTGCTCTTGGTCATTTTCCCCTCTCTTGCTCCCTAGCCAGGTCCATAATCAAACTCATATATAAAAGAAAATAATCAGAGGGAAAAATGACATATTTTATCCCTGAGGGCAATTTGCATTTTTTTTTGACAGAATACAGATTTATCTTGCTAGCTAATCAAAAATGTTTCTGCACCAATATGGGAGAACATAAGTTAGAATTAAAAGTAGTAGAAATCAGTCTCTCCTGCTAACATTTAAATGTATGGTAGCTGGATTGTGAATGTATTTTAAATTTTAAAATTTCATGTAATAGTAATGATTTTTTTAATTAAAGTTATTAATAAGACCAGTATTGTACATTTATATCTGATCTAAAAAAAAGTCATCCACATCTTTTTGGTATCATACAGGCTACAAGCGACCATCCATGTTGGTACTAAGACACATACGAGTCTATTGTGCAAAGGAATCCTAACTCATGGGATCAAAGAGTTAAAAAACAATAAAGAAAAGAATTTACTCCAAGAGCCTACATTAACATCAAGACTAAACCTGCCTTTTAAAAAAGCATTAATTATTACTTTAACCCTTCTGAGAGATTCCTGATGAGAAAAGTTTGGCTCAGTATTTTATTTGTATAAAGGTTAAAAATGGAAAATTATCTGAGGTCAAAAACCAGTGTCTCCTAAAATTCAGATTTCTGACCACAAATACAAGGTGTGGTAGCATGCAACTTCCAAAAATTACAGGCAAAACTAGAAAACAGGTCTTCTGAATTATCTTTGTGTCTAAAGAAAAGCAAACCAATAACTATTGAAATTTGACTTTCAATAAAGAAGTTTCTGCTGCTGCTTCATTCTTTACTCATTTAAATTGCTTAACTTTCAGAACCTTTGGTTCCATGGATCTTCATCAATATTTATTCTTGTAAAAATAATAATTTTCAAACCCCACAATTCCTAAACTTCAGTCTAGATGTCAATAAATCACTTAGGAGGACTGACAATCTAAATATACCATAAACAAAATCTCTATGATACAGTGAATGAAAACAAATCAGAGCTACCTACATTGCTTTTTACTATTACATTTCAAGAATGAATAACTGTTTAGCCTTTCAAAAAAAATTTTCCCCCTAGTTTTATAGACCTGCCCTGAAATTTTGGGAAAAAAAAATTAAGTACATACCCGCACTCCTGAGGTGAAATGTCCTGTTCCTGACGAATCCTAAAGATGATAATGCAGTGAAATAATCCAAACAGGGGAAGTCAATCCAAAAGAGAATAGTCCAGCAAGGAAAAATATATCCAATGTTATAAGAAATCCATGGTGTGGGGGGGGACATAGAAAATGTTTATACAGTTATAAACTTTAAACATCAGTCTCCACAGTAGCAAGTCCAAGTTTTAAAAATTATTTCACCACAGTGTATGTAAAAAAAATTTTTGATTGCGCAATGGTGAGGCACAGTAAAGAAACATTTTAATTTTAGTTTATTATGTTCCAATGCCAGTGCATTTATTAAAAAAATACAAAACCAAAAAAAGTTAAAATCAAAATGAAATCTAGAAGTAAAGTTCCCAAAGTAAAGTGTTTGGTCTTCTATGACCTGGATTCATTGTCCATTGACAAGGCTGGGAGGGGGTATATTAAGACTGCTTTTAAAGATATGAATTCTCAATATGCTAATTTTTCTCTATTAATGTATTCCAGTTACACAGTATAAACATTTTTTTTTGCTAAATTATTAGTGATGAGAGGAAAGTAATAAATATATTTAATTTATATTACTACAGATTTCAAGCCAGATATTTTCAATTTGTGTGAACTAAGAAGGATCAGGCCACCGCGGATTATTCTCCATTGTGGATTGACTTCCCTGCTAAAAGATATTTGCTGACATTCTCATTATCTTAGGACTCTTCAGGAAATACATATCACCTCAGGAGTGCGGGTATAAACTTACATTTTCTATTGTGGGCTTTGCCCCCTCATACCCTTGCACCCATTGCTTAGGAAAAATATAGAACATTCTTTCTTTTTTGGAAAAACTCACTGAAAAAAAAATCCTACATCTTTGAGCACTACAAATTCAACACAGTTCCATCTTCAAATATGCCCAATTCACCCACCAAAAGCTAAACAAAAATATATACAATAAACAATACAACTAAGGGACAGTCACAGTTATAGGTGACATGCATAGTAATGTACAACACCTAGGCACAACGGAGCCAAATACACAAAGAAGGTAGTAAGGTCTATTATGTCTAGGTATTGAGAACAAACAATGGCAGAACTCACCAATAGCTGTGAATTCCCTCGGCTATTCTAAGAGAATTTAACATTCTTTTAGGATAGTTTCCAGTGGGGGAATTAAATAAATAATCCGCGGATTACTTTTAGTCTGCAGACTAAAATTTAGTACACGGATTAAAATCCGGCCCATTAGAATAAAAATCTTTCATGGACTAAAACACAACTAGGTGGGCAAAGTATAAAACCAGACTGAAAAAACAGAGAACAAAGTAAGACTCAACAGGGCCAACTAACAATTAGTGCGCAGACTAAATATGGCCAGCCAAGTATGTTAGCAAGGCCATGAAGAGCCCAAAACACCCCCTGTAAAAACTAAAAACAGAAGCAAATAAATAAAACAAAACAGAACAAAGCAATAAATAAATAAATAAATAAATAATTGAAAAAAAGAAAAGAGAAAGGAAAAACTGAAAAGAACCAAAACACTGACATGAACTTTTAAGTGATTAAAATACTACCTCACCTGTGCAGCATTTTTTAAGTTGAAACAAACTCTCATCACAAATACTAGCCCATAGACGAAACTAACAGAAAAAATTAATTTTTTTCAAAAAGAAAGTCTTCTGTGGTTTTGAACAAATGCAAATGAGTTCTTAAATAAAGAATTATTCAAAATAAATTTGCATTTGTATAACGCAAAAATGACAGAGGCAATTTCCCCCTGACATGTCCCAGAAGAGACTTTTGCCATCAAATATCAAATTTTAACCTGGAGCTAACTGTTATGACTGAATCTTAAGCCTCTTAAAATGACCATTTACGAAGTCATATATACTCTACTGTATCAAGGCTTATCGCTGATTCTCATAGCATCAGCTCTCAACAATTCTACTGTATTAAACAGCCAACCAGAGTAATGTAAAATGTCTATAGGCGATGATAATCAATCTCAGCAGAACACAGAACAAGTGCTTTGCCTCTTGTGAACAGCTATTCCTCTCTAGTTTCCATTATGATAAATGTACAATGCAAACACTGTTCTCTGGTTATATACTACAAATACACAAGCACCCCATGTTAAAAACTGATAAACCATGAAAACTCCTAAAGGGCAACCCAATATTGGCTCTCAAGTAATCTATTAATCATTTAAATTATTTGCAATTTATAAACCTAAATATAGGACTAAATGTGAAAGAATGCCATGGATTGTTAAATAGTTAATTATCATGATTAACAAAACCTTAAGTCTACTTATAGTAAAAAATTCTTAAGAAACACAATAGAGCTAGCTAACATTCAGTAAATTTCA